CCTGTAAAAAAATTCTTGGTCCCCTACAGCCTTCAGAGTTGTATTCGAAATGAAACATTTCAGAGAAGTCCCCGTGACACTGTACCCTGAGGAAGGTTGTAGCAAGCACAGGTGGACTCAACAATTGGTCTACAAAAATTTTTTGTTCCTCAGGGTTCTCTCCCCACATCACACAGGCTCTCTACAACAGAATTTCTTCTGGTTCCTTAAATTTTTTTTTGCAGAGAGAGCACCTGAATATTGGAAGCATTCCACATTCAAATAATAGGTTCGAAATGAAACTTGCTCACCAATTTTCTTGGGGAATCTGGATGCAACACGAGATAATAATTAAATGCAGAATTAAGTTCAAAAACACGGCTAGAAATATAATTGAAGCATCAGTTTATTTGATCAGACACAAGCGAATAAACACAAGGTGGAAACAAAAGGTAGGGGAAAACTAAAAAACTGTAAACTTCCCTCGCCCGCCATCAGGACGCAAAGGTGCAGCATTGTTACAATATAATCCTCTCATCACAAAAAGTCAGTCAACGCGGAACACAAAGCTTTAGGAAACACCCAAGAACTTGTAGCTTATTACGCAGTGGGACAGATTTCTTCGAAAAATATTTCCGCCTTTGACATAATCCCAGGAACTCAGTTTCTCAAGCGATTACTTTCCTCATTCGTCGAACGCATTCCTGCCTTGGATAAATTCATTTAAATACATTCCAGAATCGCTCCAAAATTGTACAAGGGAAGTGGCTGCCACTTCATTGGACCATACTGTGAAGCAGAAAGCAAATTTTTTTTTTCATTCGAAACATGAGCAGGCAACCGTTGCCAAGAAATTACACAAGGAAATTCCACGTTTCCAAGTAAACTTTTTCAAACTCTTCTCAGAACATTCGCCAAAGTTTGCGCCTTTCAGAAAGAGGGAAAGTTGGAAAACAAGTGCTGCATATTCGCCGTCCTTACTGATCCATAACTAAAATAGCATGAATGCTCTCATAAAACAATGCAATACAGGCAGTCTGCTGTTGAATACAATAGCTGCTAACACCTGCCAAAAAAGTAATAAAAATGATCCTCGTCGCAATCGTCAACTGGCATCACCGCAGCGAGATTCAAACTAAAATAATTCACAAAAAAATCCGATATACTTTTCCATTGGACGTAATGCTTTCTAACACGAACTGAATCCTGAATAGCGGCATTTGCAAATAAAATATCTTCCTCTGCAGCGCATAAAATGGGAAATGCATAGAATGCCGAGTAGGAGCTGAATGAATACAAAGGGAACACGTTCCACAGGTTTAAACTACACATTCCCAGAATTAGTTTCACGTCACGCTACGGATGTTTGGAATGTTCGACCTTTCTTTCGACTGTTTTCCTGAACTTCACACAATGAACGCCCTTTTTGCCAAGTGAAATACAGCAAACACCCATGAATACTTCCAAGCCAAGGATACGCATGAAACATTCATCCCTAAATATTGCTGTTCATTTTCAAAGCAACAGAGAAAAAACCCCCACAAGGCGAGGTTCGAGCTTGCCACAAAAAGGGAAGCAAATTTTTTTGCTTTAGCAAATCCAGACGGGAAGTTAGCATTTGGGAGCGTTAGGCAAGGAAAGATGCTCGGGAGAACCAGCGCCATTCGTTACAAAACTTCCTCAATGGTTCGACTGTTGCTGAATTTCGATCTTCTCCACAGTCATGTCCGGGTTCATGGACGTGGCTTCCTGAATAGCTTCTGCAAGGGCTTTGTCGTGATCGATGGGATCTCCATCAGACTGAATCGTTATCTTCTGCTCAACTCGGGTTTCCAAAACACCATCTTTCTCTGTCTTGTACTGAAACAAACAAACAATAGAAACAGTAGATGCTTCAATCCGATTCATGATGCATAACTTATTCGAATATGATACCATTGAGACCCTCATAAGTTAACTTGCAAATTCAACACACAGCTGCACTTGTGTGTCACAAAACACGAGATACTACGTTCTACTGGCTGTGTGGTCCAACACGTGCATTAATTTTCAAATTGAGAAGACGAATCAATGTATTGCAATCGATAGAATAACTGGGAACTTGGGAAGAAAACCTCGAATCATCTTCGTGGCGAAATCAACCGTGTGAGTTCAGAACATTAATTTTCCATATGCAATTCTTGAATTGCCAGTTTTCTGTAATCCATTCAGCTTTGAAATCATTTTTGTTCGAAGGAAAAAATTCCAGAGGGTGGAGAAATACTGTACCGAATTCCTCCAAAGTGGCACATTTTCGGAACACCACACAAACTAGCAGTTTGCACATGTATACCAGACGACACCATTTTCCAGACTATCTTGATAATTACGTAAAAAACGGGAAAACATCTTAAGTTAAAAATCTGGTGGTTCAACGATATCTCAAAAACATCAGAATATAGTACAGTACATGAGTACATGAATAAAAAAGCCCAGCTCCATTAAAATTGTATCACGTATTGAAAAATTTGTATGCGGGACTCACAGTAATGGTCTCCACTGTGCGAGTTTTAGAGGAAACACTTTGCGACGAAATTATCTCCCCTTCGAGATGCGCGGCTCCATCTTCCGAGCGAACCGCCACCTTTCGTGTTTCAGTTTCCACAACAGGAATTTCACTCGAAGAGTGCTTCACGTGATGACGGGCATCGGTCACGGACGAATCATATTTCATCGACTCCGGGCGGATTACAGACGGCTACAAAACGCCAAGTCAATAAAATATAAATCAATTCTCCAGAATGACAGTTCCGGTTACTCACAGGCAGATCGTGTTGCGAGAAATCCGATGTAACAACTTGCGCAGTCTTCTTCAGTTCTTGGGTCACAATTCGTTGCTCCTGTTGAGTCGCACTCGTCGTGGTCGTTGTAGCAAAAGCCTTCCCTTCCATCTAAAATATGGCAACGATCATTTGAAAAAGACTCTCAACAAGTAAGAGAAAAAATTCACCACGAGCATGAAGAGAAGATGCAGAAGCAAAGAAAAAAAAAAAAAAAAAGCTACACAGTCACCAAACCCATGCAACAAATTCCAGAAGAAAAGGCAGAAAGCATCTCCCGTTGACCAATAGCTTCCGATCAATGGAACTGGGCCACATGACCACGTTCCTCGAGAGGAAGATCACAAGAGGATCTGAAATAGTTTCTAGAGCTACCTCTTGCGTTGTAGCTCGCTTTCCATCTTCCCCTTCACGCGTAGTCGAAGTCATTGTGGTGACAGCTGCGGCAGTCGCTGATACGTACGGCTTCTTCTCATCTTCCAGTCGAGACTGTTCACGTTTTGAATTTTCAAACACATAAATGAATCAAAACATGCATTCCCGAAGTTCAGATCTTTCTTCAACCCGGTTTTCCTCTTCGAAACTACAGTGACTCACGCGCTAAAGTACTTGTAAAAAGGTGAATATTGCAGGGATGTACGGCCCCATGAAAAATTTAATTATTGTGCTCGAAATAATTCGAACACAGAAGGAGAAAATTCCTGGAAAGTTAGTGAAGTAAGACGATCAAAGGCAAATTCGTCGTCCGTTTCCTTTCCCGATTTTCGGCTTTTAACGACTGGGAATTGCGGCTGATCTCCGAGAATTGGACAGGAATTAATGGTACAGTAATCTCAGAAAATTTTAAAATTTCCGTTAAATGAGAGACATATTGGAAGAAAATGTTGCTTCGTCAGAAAAATGAATTTTGTCTCCTTCGTAAAATACATGAATAAGACAGAATTCCGCTGCGATTTGTCCTGAAAAGATGAGAAATGTCCTCTTTCTTTCCCCAGATGCCGAATAGTTGTTGGGATACTTTCCTCCTCCTTCGTTCACGCTGTCAAATGACACTAATTGCAAAATTATAGGCTCATTCCCTGAAATATTCCCGCTTTTATGGGTTTATTTTTAACGCGTGAATCACTCCGTAGGCTTATCACGAAATATTTCCTACTTGAAACTAAAACGACAACTGACGACTAAATTTCAAACATTCGACGCAGAGATTCTGCCACAAACATGCAAACAAGCAAAACTTAGAAATCGAGCATAATATTTAGTTACTCGGTGTCGGCACTTCCGTGAAATTCGTCGATCGTGGGTGACCATTGTTTTGGATTTTTTTTTTGAAGCGAGCGAATTTACCTGGTAAGTTTTTTTCGTTGAAGAAAGAACACCCGCGGTGACCCCGGGGGACAAATCCTCGACATGTTCTTCCACATTCTCGACAACGCCGTCATCGTTGCTCACGATCGTTTTCTTCGTTGTCGTCTTGATGATCTTAGGAGTCGAAGTTTCCTCAGAAACTTTCCACTTTTGCGGCAAGGCTCCGCTCGCTCCTTCCAAGTTCGGAATCCGTTCGTCCGCGTAATTGTCCACGTCACTGTCACCCGAAGACCCACTGGAACTAGAGCTAGAAGATTCGCTCGAAGATCCGTTCGGGCTGCTCCTCACTGCGGCTTTCTTCCCACCAATCCTTGTTTTCTCCGTCTTCACGATTGGCGTGGCTTTCAACGAGCTGCCGGTGCCAACCATCCCGCTGAAAACAGGAATCTTTGAGCCCGTTGGAGTTGTAGGATTCCCAGCAGAGGATTTTCTGTCCACGGGGGCATGAATGCCAGATGTCTCGGAGTGCTTCCTGTCCGACGGAGTGTCGATCGAGGTACTATACGACTTCCTGTCTGCTGGTTCGCCAATAGCAGTGCTATATGCCTTCCTGTCAGTTTGTTCGCCAATGGCCGTACTATACGGTTTCTTGTCCTTCAAGGCACGGTAATCCGCAGGGTCATCGATAACAGTGCTGTAGGACGTCTTCCGCTCAGGACGACCTTCCGTCGGAACATCGTTTAGTCCACTATACGAAGTTTTTTGTTCCGCAGACGCTCTGAATTCCGCGGGGTCATCGATAACAGTGCTGTACTTCGTAGGGGCTTTCAACTTGGACGGGGGAGCATTGGCGTGAGCCTCGGATACAGAATATTTCATAGATGTTTCAAGCGCCTTGTTGTAACCGAATGTCGGCGATTTCGTTCCACTTTGAGGCATGTTGGCGTGAGCCTCAGACGGCATTGATAATTTTACTGAAGGTTCCGGTCCTTTGTTGTAACCAAAAGTCGGTGATTTAGTTCCGCCTGAAGGAGTAGAGAAGAAGGAACTTCTCGCGGTTGATGAGTCTGATTTCGCGGACGAAGTGGAGGTATTCAATACGCTCTTGGCTTGACGACGCTTAGCGGATTCCAGCAAAAGAGCTTCTTCCCCTGTGGCGTAATTGTAGGCTACTCCAGTCGCAATCCGCGCACCCGTCGCAGATGCAGGTCGACTTCCATCTTCAGACGGGGACGTCGGTGATTTTTGCTCATAGCTGAACCCAACCTTGCTGGGCTCGTAGTTGCGTTGCATCCCTCCATGCAGCTCAGACTCTTCGTATGTGTATTCTTTGGTGTGCTTGGAATCTTTCCGGTCGCGAAGAAGAGCCGCAGTGGACGAAATGTTGGTCCTGAGATGAACGTCGTGTTCTCTAGCAGGGGTTGATGCTCTTTCTGGGCCAGCTGATGGGGAGAAAAACTCCTGGGAACCCGCCATGGGTTTCGGAGTGGCTGACGGACCTACTGAGAACTCCGTTTCTTTCCCAAACTGCTATGATAGAAGTTACTTCAGTACAAATTCACTACAGTACTAGGTTGCAATAGCCAAGACGAATAAGGCTTTTCGAAAAACACCGCAGCTCACGCAATCGATCAGAAGGGTAACATTTTTCTTCAAAATTTCTCGGCAGCTATTCATTAAGAACAACGTTGAACAATTGAAAGACACCAGATACGGAAAATACTAACTTTAAAAATTTAAAAACAGATTTTTCCTCACAAAAGAAGACCGCATTTCCGTGAAGAATATACAGCACAAATAAATGCTGTTTTCATACGGCTGTGCTTTAATTTTATCTCTGGTGCGAGCAAAAGTACATTTTTTCCTCTGACAATATATCATCCACTTACTTGAGGTAATTAAAAATGCAAGATAAGAACAAGTACTGTAGCAAGATGAGAACACGTCCTAATCCGCATATGTGTTCAGATCGATTCCGTGAAAATGAACTAAAACTTGAACTGAATCTAATATGATTTACATGCAAATTTTGCATGCATCGAACATTCCTCATACGTCTGCAATTCTCAATCAAACAGTACCTTTCTCTTGAAATTCTCGCCATGAATTCCTTCCTTCTTCGGCTCTTGACCGGGAGAATCCGTTCGCACTTTTCCGGTGGATTCAGCTTCTTTGGCAGCAGCTTTTCGATCCCTGATTTTCTGCAGTTCCATGGGTGGCAACACAGCAACGCCTCCGATCGGCTTCTAAGGAAGTACATGAGAGGAGGTCTTCGTGATAAGGTCCCGTTTACTTAAAAAAGGTATTCGTTAGAAACCAGTGCAAGGAACAACGTGTGAAACAACCAACACCATCCAACACCAACGAAATCACCACAACCAAAATGCAGCTCACAAGAGCAGTAGTGAGATTTGAGTACCTTCACACCTGTACAAAGCTCAATTATAAAATTGTATCCGCTATTACACAGATAATTCGCAAAAGGAAGTCAATTGGGCCATCGCGAGGAATCCACTCCAAGGTGAGATAAAATTCCCGAAGATTTCCGGACAGCCCAAATTAACTTTTTGACAGGGTAGGGGGAAGTCGATCATTAGCATGAATACACGCAAAGCGAAAACTCGAGTGCTAGCGTGGTAGGGTAGTCAAGTGACGTCCGAAACCAAGGGAATTCAGCCAGTGAGGTTGTTAATCCATCTCCGCAAATACTGGAGGGTCGGACTCAAAACAAACCTCGAAGCTGGTGTTCGGAGACTTCTCCAAAATTGATACACTCTCCTCTGTTACATCGCTGTCTTCGACAAGTTTTCCAGCGGGTTTTGGAGACGCTTCTTGCTCACTCAATGTCGTGTCCCCTGTTTCGGCTCCAAGCTGGCTCCCGTCGGTTTTTGGATCACTCTTGCCTTTGCCTTTTTTATCATGCTTCTTGCGTTCTTTTTCCTCCTTCTTGGCTTGTTCTTTTTCTTTCTTTTCGCGATCTTTCTCCTCACGTTCGAGCCTACGTTCTTCGCGCTCACGAGCACGTTTCTCTTTCTCAGCAAGTTTCTTATTCTCCTCTTTTTCCTTCTTCAGCCTCTTTTTATCCATTTTTGTCAGTGGACCGGCTACAGCCATAGTTTGTTCGGATTTTGTGGTATCGTCCAGTGAACTTTCCTGTGGGTCTTCGGCAATGCTATTAGGGCTTTCAAAGTTGTTGTTGTACGACCTTCCCCAAAGGGTACGTTTACCCCGCTAAAAACACGGTCGTTCGACAAAAATATCCACAATTTAAGCATACTCTGCTCACGTAAATAATACTGAGCAGCATACAGACAAAGAATAGTATGTTTTTGTTATAATAAACAATTTTTCACGCTTTGAATCAGTGTGGAATTTCGAAACAAGAAAATGGGAACATTGAGTGCAAAAACATTCTTCTTGAATAAATAAAACTTTGAATATCACTTCGAATTTAAACGAGGACAGAACTTACCTTTTTCTCTTCTTTTTCTGCGACTTCTTCAGGATTAGTCATAGTGTGACGCTTCGCATCTCCACGATGCATTTCCGGCGTTTGCTTTCCTAGTACTGCAACGGAGCCAAAAACATAAATCAAATCAGTGGAGGGCACATTTTTTCCGTAAAATTTAAAAGGGCTTCATCGTTGGATCATGCAAATCTAGAATTAAAAATTTGTCGACCTAACCACAGGAAATTGCGTCATCACGTCACAATTTTTTTCGAGATAGCTTGGAAAGTTTCCAAAATCTAGTCCTCCTCAAAGATAACCGCGCAAAATTATACCTTGTTTATTCTGCGATGAGCTAAAATAGGATAAGTAAAAATCCAAACCGTTTCTGTTGAAAACGTCGTACATAACTCAAACGGAGGAAGACAACCAGTGTGTTTATACGTACCATCCATGCTTCTCGAAGAAATCCGTTTCCCTGTGAGAGTTCGCTCAAAATATGGCGCCGGTCTGTCAATTAAGGCACTCTTGGTTTGAAACTGCGTCCTCCCAGAATACCTGAATTTTGAGCCGAAGCGAGGAAAAAGTGAACCTTTCTTCCTCGGCGTTTCAGGGACAGCCAACCTACAATTTTCGCAAGAAGAATGATTCGTGAACGAACAATAATGTCACCTCCGTCAAGCGTTACAAACCGAAAAAAGGTGTGATGCTCAACACAAGTTTTCCAAAGGCGCTTTGCGGCTCGAGGAGTAGCCAACTTGAATCCAACCGTGGATTCGAACCTTTCGAACTCCCCAGGTCGAATCTTGATGTAGAAATGACTCCTTTTATAGGAAATTTTCAGGATTTTAGGCCATGCAAATCTATTAATCCGCAATCTGAAACATAATTGGAACACAGATCATCAGCAGCGACACCACGACGATATTTAACCCAGTACATCTTACCTATCGCGGTACACTTGGAGTCCGGAGGCGCAAACACCAAGCATGATATCTACACCTTCCAAATCTTTGGCAGGATGAAGGTCGACTCCATACATTGCCAATTTCTTGGCATTTTCTAAATAATGTCCGTCAGCTTCAGCAGGCGTTTGTCCTCTGCAATGGCAATGAAAAAAGTTTGAATGCATCACACCGAGAACAAGGTAAAACAGTCAATTGCAATTTGCGAAATATAAATTATGCAACTCCTTGTTAAGAGAATGACGGAGGAAATGAACACTAACACATGTGTTTTGTGAAGGTCCATAACTTTGTCTTCCAAGTCAGAATCCTGCTCGGGGGCAAACTGTATTCCTTTTAAATATCCCGGACCTCGTTCCTCGGCGTCAAAATCTCCCAATTCCGACTGGGCAAGATATGAACCCAGGAGCGCGTGTGTCACAAATGAGCACGGTAACCTGACATCACATACATAAGAAAATAATGTAGGGCAATGAACGAACAATAAATCGACCGTGTTTCTCACTTCCCAGAAAGAATATCACTTCGGATTTGCAAGCAGAGAAGGTACCTGGAACAGAAAACATATCAAAAAACGCGTATTACGTCCGCGAATAGGAGACTTAGAGGAGAACTACATCAGACCATGGTTTTCAAGTATTTAGTCGCACCTTGTAAGGTCTTCCTGCAGCTGTCCAGGATCCGGGGGATAGAATTTCACAGCGAATGTGAACTCCCACGGCTTATCTACAGAATAAAAAGCCGTAGAGCATTCAACTTTATACAGTACAATGACTCGGCCAAAGATGTAATCCCAGAATAACGAAGTCACATACCTCGGACCTGCTTCGAAATCCGCTTCCCCAAATCCAACCACGTCAAAGTTTCATGCGAGTCCATGAATTGTAAACCAAAATAGTCTTTCTCCAAAAGATTCAACGAGGTAGCCACGGCGGTGTGTAAATCCTCTCCCTTCCCTTGTTTCTGTAGCATATAATAATTAGTCAGAGATCGACGAACTAAACGAAATGAGACCTCACGTCGATCGGAAATTCCTCCGTCCGTTGATCAAGCAGTTTGACTCGCACCAGAATCTTCTTCCCCGAATTCTGCTTTGATTTTGGCGAGGTACTGTTACTTCCGGTCCCATTTTCCACTTTCGAGGTTTTCACCTCATCCGATGCTTTCACTCCCGGCATAGTGATGGACGAAAAGTCGTGTCTTTATGGTCCAGAAGTATACACTCGCAAGCTAAGTTTATCAAGATTTCTGTGGTTTAAGAGTCCACTGAGGTACACAAACGCACATTCATTTCCAGAAACCACTGCCAGTACGTCCTGAATAAGGTCGAATCTTCCGTCAACATCACAAGAACTCATTTGAAACACTCGAACATTATGTACGCACATCAGGGGGGCTACGGGAAAACTTCAATATCTGGGCAACGGAATAGCTAACCCGTCGGGTCGCACATCCGACCTCACATCCGTAACCTGTTCCGCAACGAACTACGCGACTCCTGCGTGCAGTCAAGGCAAAACATTCAACTTATCTCGGCAACCGGAACGCCGCCATGATATGAGGGCAATTCAGCAATTGTCAGTTATGTCCATCTTGTCAACAGTAACCGGTTAGCACTCGTTTTAGTGTGCATCCGTCTGCACTTTGCAGCAGACAAGTCTCAACTCCGGGTATGATCAATTGAAGTGAACCCCAGCGAGACTGAAGTACAGGATTACTAATGTTTTCAGCAGCTCAAGATCACGAATTCAAACTTCATAAAATTCTTAACCCCCCCCCCCTCAAAGGAGTTTCATAAGTGGAGGGCAGGTGTTCGTGAACTTAACTCATGGGTCCAAAGAAAGGTGCATCACTTCAGGATGTTATACAGTGATCCATTTTTTTTTATTTCCAAACACATAAAGAACGTAATGGGAAAAACACTAATACAAAATTAAACATCCTACTGCTGCTTGAGTTGCTGTTTTTGCTCCCAGATTCGATACGATCAGGTAAAAAAAAGAATTAAAATTAACGGTTGAACTTCAATAAGAAAGTCTTTCTGCTCCATCATTGATATAAATATAGTGCAGCGATTGCTTCTGTATGCAAGTACTGTATTCATACATCATTTAAGAGAGTCACCTTCAACTATGAATCTTTGATTAATACAAGCACTGCATGTATACCGGGCATCCCGTATATACAGTATACACATACTGTACTGGATGAAATCCTCCCTCTCAGGGCACACAGGCGGGACGGAAAAGCAAACTTTCTAGGCCATATACTGTACCAGCAGATCAGTTTTCCTCGCCTTTGTCGCCATTGAAGGCTAACATACTCTGATGCTCTTGTATATGCCTATCGCGCTTATAGATAGTTGCAGGAAATACGGAGTACATCATCAGCATCTTATTTTGAAAGTTCGATTGCTTTTTTTCTGGTTCATCCTGTTCTATCTCTTCACTTCCATTTCTAATCCATGCCGACGAGGGAATATAATCGAAGAATAGAACAGGTTTCCAAAACGAGTTTCGATTCGCTGAACTTCGTCGAAACTGATCTTCAGTTGTTCGCAAACTCTCATGCGCAAACCAAGACTGATGCATTAGTATGCAATCAACTACGTGTCCGTATCAATCGCGAAAACGGATAAAAGAAATTAGGACTCGCGTGAAAAATTTAAGACTCTATTGTTGCAAGGGATCAGGTTCACCATGTATGTGTTGCTCCCATCATCGTGATCGAGACATGAGTTTATGATTACTGACGCGTTCAAGTTCGTTGTCCCGTATGGTAAACCTTTTTAAAATCTAGCTCAACGTCTATCGCAGACGAGAGCCGAGTGAGTTGGTGCGAATCTAGCGCATGATTAACGCGGTTGGCGGTGTTGCTCAGCAAGTAGCTGATGGGAGCGAGGGTCTCTTTTTTTCTCTGTCTCATCTCTAACATATAAAGCACCGAACATAAAGGGTCAACTCTCTTGTATTTTGGAAAAAGTGGCAAATTTTCGATTGTATGGCAAATGTTTTCTCAGACTGCAGCGATTTATATTGAGAAGGTGCCCGAATCGCGAATAACATCATGCTTGGGCCGCGGTTTCATCGTGGAGCCTTCACTGCGCTGATATTCCTCAACAACTTCCTCCATGGACTTGAGTATTGTGCGTTTCCAAAGGACGAAGTGAAATTATGAATCCTATCAGAAAATATTTCTTCGCCAATTTTCCCTACCAAGTCGAATGTCGGATAGAGAAGATAATGATAAGTTTTACGGATAAGCACCAACTTTGTCTATTACTTATATCGATCACTCATCTCTCTGATTTTCATTCGGGCATGATTAAGTCGTAAAGATTACGACGAGATAGATCTTTGAAAACTAAGAAAATCGCATCACATGTGCCGAGGAAGAAGTATTATCTGCCATACGCGTGTCTCAAGACATTATTTGCAGGCTCTTAAATCATTTAGAATAAATTCGGTGTTAAACCGAGTATTTTGAATATTTCTAAAATCGTTCAATGACGCGATTATGGCGCTGATCGTAAAAGCAACATGTTAAGATTACGAATTTGTTCTGATCTTATAAAAATGTTACTTGCGTGGATGCTGATTTTGAAAAGTTATTCCCCGTAAATGTTTCCATTTGTAATTAAGCGCTTGATCAATTTAAAACTACAATGAGAGGCACATTAATCTGAGAAATGAATGAATTTTGTTCCAGTGCCCCGAAATGAAAAAACTGTGTTTACTGATTACTGTAGCAATGCAAAACATATTCTGGACGATCCCTCATGTGCATGCACTTTTGCAGTACCGAGACAAAATGCGAAACAAAACTTTGAAGAGCATAAAAATAATATTTGAAACAGTTTATTATATAATTTCGCTGTGATTATAATTGAGGACCAATTTCCAGCTTTGATATTGCCATCAATGTGGAAGTACATGCAATCTCAAGGACTGACGAGCAAGCTGTATTTCGGCGCTGTTGTGGCAAGTGAGTGATGCATAAATAGACGACAAAACATTTTTACAGCATTCATTAACGATAGACTTCTCGCAATATTCATCGAAATTTACATTTAAAAATGAAAAATATTTCAATTTTTTTCAGTTCTTAAATATTCCTTCAAGTCAATCGTCGTTCGATCATTATTTCGTTAACATTTGAAAATTAAATAGGCTAACGATAAGTTTCGTGCCGTGAGTAATGTATTAGGATTGAAAATGAAGAATCAGCAGAAGCGAAAAGCTTACTTTGAAAATTCCGTTATCCGCGGTATTTTTTCATTCGTGACAGCGAAATCGATATAAAAATATATATTTTCACTCGGAGCTGTCCTTTTTCTGTTTCTTAATTGGATTAACAGAAGCGAAAAGCTTACTTTGAAAATTCCGTTATCCGCGGTATTTTTTCATTCGTGACAGCGAAATCGATATAAAAATATATATTTTCACTCGGAGCTGTCCTTTTTCTGTTTCTTAATTGGATTAACTAAAAATAAAATCAAGGCTTCCACTTCGCTGCAACTGTGTCCGGAGTCATCGCTGGATGCTGTACGAAGAGAAGCAGCCACGTGAAAAGAATAGTTGCGACGATGAGTTTATTCCAGGTGGCAGGAAATACTTTGTATTTCATGGGCGGAAGTCCTGGAATCCTGTTGACGGCACGTTTCATCGCCGGTGAATATTTTTTTAATCTTTTTTGTTCTCCGACCAGAAACCCCTCCCCCCCCCAAAAAACACTGAAAAAGTGTGCTTGTAAATTGTAAATGGCCGTCCTCTATTAGTGCTGAGAATGCTGTTCTTTATGACAGGTTTGTTGACGACCGATGATAGTGACATCTTACGGACCGATTCACTTTCTTTTTTCTAGCTAGTGATATTCTTCTGAGAAGCGCGGTTGAAACGCGGTCATTTAAGATTTTATAAGTCGGTTTATGACTTACATAAAAATGCCAGACATTTCGCTCACGTCAGATGTTTAATGACAAAGACACCCGAGGATGTTCTGATTATTTTTACTTATTTTAGAAAGTGCATTAATGACACTGTACGATTTATTTATCGAGGAATAAATCGACCCGATTGACAGGTCGTGGCCTTGTTCCCTCATTTAATTCCATTATTGTAACCCTTTTGTTCTTCCTCAGCCGAACTTCAAAGGCAAATTGAATCATCGCTTCCTTTGTACAGAAAATAATGGGGATTAATTCAAGCAACTTCACGCCTAAGACCAATGTTAAGTGAAAAAAATAAACAATGAAGAGTGTTTGCGAGTGGAAGACGCTTAAAATAGGTTTATGAAGACGACCTAGTTTTATACTCCAACGCGTCTAATTATTACAGAACTGATCCTGTGTTCCAGAGCAATCATCTCAAATGACGAAGGCTCGTTTAGAAAAATATAACGCTGTTGCATGAAATAGCCTCAACTTCATTTAAACTATTCATTTACTGTTCAACTATTCATTTTAATGTAATGCAGTACTGTTTCTTTCATAGTTGCCGGCTATGGAGCACTTCCCAAAATTAGGTCGCAAAGTACATTCAAAGTTGTACCGCGTACTTAAGCGAGTACCATGGCACACCTTTATTATTTCCCCATAGAAATTGGGGTGTCATATCAAATGAAAGTTGAATTCCATTCGATTAGATTTATTATAAAAATGAAAAGTTGTATAATATTTTAAATAAAAATTGTTAAACAGAGGCAGATAAAATGCGATTCTTAAAGGGAGTAATTTTCGCAGTACTTTAGGTTCATTTTATTTTTTTTTAATAAGTAAAAAAAAATATTAGGAAGTTTGAAGTAGTGCTGTTTCCATATACAAAGAACAGGGACATGTTTCCTTTATTTACTTTCATCAAAAAGAGTTGACAATGATGCTAAAACTCAAAATTATCTGCTGAAGATGAATCACTTGACAATATTTTGAAAACCAATTTCCCTAAAAATCTCGGTCAAATGCATGTATTTGAAACCATGGATATGCAAGATAGAGCATGTTGTAAAAAATCCAGCCCTTTTATTTTTTTGTAGCAAAGATACTACCCTGTACTGCGTATTTCATAAATAAATAAATAAATCCTTACCCTCAGGTTTGGGTGCGGGCTCAATGACTGGGCTGTACTCCGAGCTGAACCGGAGCACAGTGTCCCGTGAACGCAGTTCCCTGTTGACTGGGGTATTTCTGGCCTATCACCTCAGCATTGTGGCTGGGCCGGGATTGAATGCCTTGATTTATTCCCGCATGCACGGGNAACGCGTCTAATTATTACAGAACTGATCCTGTGTTCCAGAGCAATCATCTCAAATGACGAAGGCTCGTTTAGAAAAATATAACGCTGTTGCATGAAATAGCCTCAACTTCATTTAAACTATTCATTTTAATGTAATGCAGTACTGTTTCTTTCATAGTTGCCGGCTATGGAGCACTTCCCAAAATTAGGTCGCAAAGTACATTCAAAGTTGTACCGCGTACTTGAGCGAGTACCATGGCACACCTTTATTATTTCCCCATAGAAATTGGGGTGTCATATCAAATGAAAGTTGAATTCCATTCGATTAGATTTATTATAAAAATGAAAAGTTGCATAATATTTTAAATAAAAATTGTTAAACAGAGGCAGATAAAATGCGATTATTAAAGGGAGTAATTTTCGCAGTACTTTGGGTTCATTTTATTTTTTTTAATAGTAGTGGTTTTTTAAGTAGTGCTGTTTCCATATACAAAGAACAGGGACATGTTTCCTTTATTTACTTTCATCAAAAAGAGTTGAAAATGATGCTAAGACTCAAAATTATCTGCTGAAGATGAATCACTTGACAATATTTTGAAAACCAATTTCCCTAAAAATCTCAGTTAAATGCATGTATTTAAAACCATGGATATTCAATATAGAGCATGTTGTAAAAATCCAGCCCTTTTTATTTTTTTGCAGCAAAGATACTACCCTGTACTGCGTATTTCATAAATAAATAAATAAATCCTTACCCTCAGGTTTGGGTGCGGGCTCAATGACTGGGCTGTACTCCGAGCTGAACCGGAGCACAGTGTCCCGTGAACGCAGTTCCCTGTTGACTGGGGTATTTCTGGCCTATCACCTCAGCATTGTGGCTGGGCCGGGATTGAATGCCTTGATTTATTCCCGCATGCACGGGTTCGCACTGGGTTCCCTGCGAGTGGAAGGCGAAAACGCTGCCGGGCTCCTGCTGGCTGCTGCCTGGGCACTGTACTTTCTCCTGTTCGTCTTTTTCTTTTCATCGGATTTCCAAGGTGAATGAATATAAGTCGACAGATTTGAGAGACATTCCTGATGGATGAAATTATCCAGGAGTCGGATCGAAAAAGTATGCCTTTAAATTCATAAATTAAATACCACATTTATGCAAGTGTTTATAAGCTGTACCACCGAGAAATTGGGACAAGAAAACGAGTTTGGGTGCACATTTTTGAGTGAAATAAAAAAAAAAATGGGTGCGAATCAAACGTGACTCAACATAGGTACAGTAAATTTCTTTATGAACAAATTCTCCTTCCTTTCGAAATATTTTTCAGAGTTCTGTTTATGATTCATTTTATGATTCATGTCCGGTTGAATCAAATTTTCAAGTGGACTTGAATTCATATTTCTACGTGATGTGGCTATTCAGATGAGAATTTTCGTCTCTGAAAAGAGAGGAAACCTAGGTATTTAAGCAACAGGAATGAAATTTTCCCCATAATTGTAGCTAAAAAAAACTCACTTATTTGAAGGTGTGTGGTACAGTACTTGAGTAGATATGGTAATCCATAAAATGATGCATTTTAGGCTTTTCACGGTACAGTACTTACAATATTTACAATGTTGACAGATTACGGCGAGTTGTATTTAGAGATTATACAGATATACCCGTGGAGATACTTGAACACATCACACACGAAAATTATACCCATGTACCACCAGCGCTATTTACTTTTCTGCCCAAGTTTATTTTTATTTAAAAAAAAAGGTGCGCTGGGTACTTGAGTAAATGCGATAGTACACTTGAGGCATGATTATTAACCAGCTCAACATTGAGGACAAGTATCAAAAGCTGTTTCCCTGTTGAAAAGGTGCGAGAAAGAAGAATTTTTTTTTTTGGAGACGTCCTGCTGCTTCTGACAATTTCACGCGATGAAAGGGGCACCTTGTCAAGCTGCTGATGATTTTTTCAAATGCTTACAAAATCTGCTCTTGTGAACTATAACACCTTAATTTTTTATTTATTCGATGATATCCCGCTGCTCAGGAGAAATAACTCGCCTTACTCTCGAATTCACGACACCTTCTGACGTAATTCTGAAAATTTATGAAAGATAAGACATCATCGAATACTACTGATTTTCCGAGCCACCGAAGAAATACTTTATTCGGGTAAATCCGGGTTCGAAAAGGAGAGATTATGAAAATGGAATTTTACTCAAAATATAATAGGAATATAGGTTTCATGGTTTATATTTTAATTTATAAACTTGTTTTGAATCTTTCATGAACTCGATGAAAAAGGTACGCAAACTCCGAATGGATCCGAGGGCGGCGGCAGTTCAACGCCGCCTTCCAGCAGGTACAGATACCGGCGACTCGCAACGGCGCCAGCCATTGATGCATCCGGTAGGAAGAAAATCGGAAGGAAGGTTTCAAGAGGAAATTTCACTGAAAGGTAATATGCAGTAAGGAATATGTTCAACCAATTCACTGTATCGTTTTTACTCAAGTACCATGTAGACCTTTGTTGACCTTTTTTGTTGTTGAAAAAACTGCAATCATAAATTGGGTTGCGTGTATCATTGTACTGTATACAGTGAGACCCCAAGATGTGGATGTAATTGGTGCATCAAGAGTGTCCCTAAGTTGAATTGTCCCTAAGTTGAATTGTCCCTAAGTTGAATTGTCCCTAAGTTGAATTTTCCTTAAGTCAAGTCTTGTTTTCCCATAGACTTACATTGTATAATTTTTAATTGGTGCTTTATGGAAGACATAACATATTCTTCAGAATTCCATAAAAAAAATTGTTTGCCACTTGAATTTGATTCAGTAAATATATTTTCAACTCATTAAGAATATTTGGAGCATTGAATAGTGTATCTCTGTACTGTACATTGAAATGTTAGCATCTACAAAAATAAGATGCAATTCACAAAAAGAGAAGGAAGTCGCTCTACGCAATAGGTAATTTTTTAAATTAGCTGAATGGATGGGAAAATGATGGGAGAAATGACAAAGCATTTTTCTAGCATAAATCTCAGGGTTGGAAACATCTGTTTCTTGCAATCAAGCCGAATAAAAGTCAAATTTTGTGAAATTGATTGGCAATTGTATCATGCAATGTCCTAATGTTGAGTCAGTGTCCATATGTTGTGCCTTTTTATGCCCTTCTTATTAAAAAATAAATGTTCCTATGTCAAATTGTCCTCATGTTGAGGTGTCCACATGTGGGGGTCTCACTGTATATCAGTCCAAATTTTTGTGTGGAAATTTTGAGAATTTTTGGTGCGCATCACACTTGGAACTCATTCAGTGCAGTTTAAAGAAATAATAATTCGTTCATCACTTGCATGCAAAAAAATGAAAGTACTTGTGCAAAGAACATTTGATAACAAATCACTTATCAGTATGCAGTCTATTTATATGAAATGAGAGTCAAATCAGAAATCGATGGCAGTCATCATCATGTTCATTGTATGAAACCCCATTTCAAATAAGAAGGGCGTCCGTTGTATACTGTATATGCATGGGGTTCCATCGTAGAGGAAAACGACGGGGATTTTTCAAGGGGCCCACTATATACAGAACATCATGGGATTCTCCTGTTCTTTCGAGATTTTATTTCTATTTTTGCTGTTGTTGTTTTTGTATAGAAGCAGTCTGGCTTTGCAGCGCCATGTGCCATATGGCGCAGCCACGAATCTCGACGTTCCCTGGGGTTGTTCCCCTGGCACTATCTCTTCGGCATCTTCCCGACTGACAGCCAGTGCCCCTGAACTAAACCTGGAAGAAGGAGAAGAAGAAGACGACGAGTACGACTCTGCCAACGGAGCATCTTCAACAACGCCCAGCACATGGTCTTCATCGCGGGACTCTATCGACGACATCTCGGCGCTGGCTGTTCGCTCCTGCGACGTCGTCGTGATGAAACAGAATTTTGATTCAAAACACAGTAGCAGCCGGAGAGACAGGCATTTTGTATTCCCCGCGAAACCCATCATGGCTGCCTCGGGGAATGCGTTTGCTGAACGACTGACTTCGTCCCTTGTCATGGTCGACTCGGACTTTGGGGGCGGAGTCCGGAGTCAACCTTTGTGGCTGGAAACTTCACTGCGATACTGCAACCCACAGTGAGTACTGTACTGGTATATACAGGTGGTACCTTGCAATATTCAACCCTAATCTATTGCCAAACTAGGGCCAAATTGCAAATTGTTCAAATTGCGAGACATTCCGTCAAATTCAAAATTTAGGTACAGTACAAAAATGGCAAAAAAAAAAAAAAACAGAATACAAGCTGAAGAAAATGCACCGATTTATTTTCAAAAAATTTGCATTTTCTCAGACAGAAAGATTCACTACGTTATTCCAGCCTTCGGGGTGACATGGAAAGGCAAGTCTGATTTCTATTGAAAATTCCTTCGGCTTTCAATTTAAGGATAAAAACTCCTTAGACTTAGTCAGCTATTATGAGATCATTCTCCAAGGCAGCAATACAGTACTAAATTTATCTCGATAATCATAAGATTTTATGAGCCTTTGTATAGGCCATCATTAGATTNAAGATTTTGCCACTCTCAGCACTTGAGCACTGCTATTGAGTTATTTCCATTATGAATGCTTTTCTTGGATACCCGACATTATTCGTTTCTGAACCTCTCGCATATATTTTTTATTGACATGCTGAGCCACTCTCAAAAACATTTTAGGATTCGTTCGTACATTTATTTTTTGCGAAATCACATTTATTATTTGTTAATGCCTGGTATTAAAAAATGAGTCTGAAGTACTGTATTGGGAAAATCTTTGGAAAGTTCCATTGTGATATAATTTTCTATTTCGTCATTGAGCATGTCAGTGTCACGTGCATTGAACAGCCTGGAATTCAGAATAAATAGGTCGAGGGCTCGAAAATAGAGTGATTGAAGTGTGCCCTGGAGCTAGGGTGAAGGCTAATTGCTTTATGGAGCATTCTGAGCTCATCCAAATATACTGAAATAAGTACTGTAGTACAGTAAAGTAAACAGCATTACCTCGTTTCATCCCCTTTCCAACGATGCAAAAAATGACATTTCAGCCATTTCATTCCAGGCGGTCAGAGCTGATGATTTTGAACAGAAGGTTTTTCTCCCTCCGGGAATATTTATCTGCAATAAAACTGTCTTATTCGTCAAATTCATCGATATTTCTTTCTGATTAGAGCACTGATTTTAAAACGGAATAAAATGATCAGCTCAAAAACTCAGTTTTCAATTTGTTCATTCATGCTCGCATAAGCGAAGAGATGATGGAATTTTTTAAACAATAAGCTCACTAAATGAATTTGCATCATGGTTTTTAATTTTTGTTTCACTGTGTTGAGTAATTTATTTTTTTTCGTGTGATCACGACAGAAATAAAGACTTCAAAGATCCTCTTGAACCGCGGATCAAACTTTTGAAGTCTCGCTGCGAAAAGCCGCAGAATCCGGAAATTAACGATTATCATCAGCATCATCATCATCATCAACCGGAAATCATTACGAGGCCGACTTGCACGGAAACCGTGTGTGATGAAGTAGTGCTCTCGTTGATGTTGTTGCAACTGGCCACGATGTTCATCGACACTATGATCGAGGTAAATTTAAATTCTGAAAAATGTTAACGCCCCATCGTGCAGAACGAAGCAAATAAGGTAAGTACGCTCTGAATATTTCCAGGGTCAACAATGATCGAGTTTGAATGACGACCTCATCATTTCCGTTTAATTGAAATCAATCTCCATGTTCGTGCTTCAACAATAATGAAACTTTAAAAAAAGTCTGCGTATTAAAGAAATATGTGTCTCATACAATCAAGTATCTACACTTTAGAGAGTGACATATTAGAGTTGAAAATATATTTTCCAGGAGGCTTCAATTATTGGAGCTGAATTAATTGCCCACTTTCTGAAAA